AAATCTTAAAAAAAAAACAAAAAAACCCAAAAAAAACAATAGAGTGAAGTCAAGGATAAAGAATTAACTTGGCACAGATTCAATACTGGCTAAGAAGCTATTCGGAGTTTCTTTCTTTGGCTGCAGGCTAATGCAGTGCAGCTTGCTGGGGGATGTAGATGGGGAGTGCCAGAGTCGGGTCAAACTGTCGTGGGAAATAGGCTGTGATCTTAGACATAAGACCGTGATGGTGTTCGGGGATTAGATGTAATCTTCCCTGAGGTCTTTTGGTTTGCTTGGTTTTTCATTTATTTATTTATTCATTCATTCATTATTATATTATTTAGAGAGAGAGAGCAGGGGGAGGAGAAGAGGGAGAGCGAATCTCAAGCAGGCTCCCCACTGAGTGCAGACCCCGACATGGGGCTTGATCCCAGACCCTGAGACCATGACCTGAGCCAAAACCAAGTCGGATGCCTAACTGTCCGAGCCACCCGGGGGCCCCTGTTTGGTTTCTTATAAGGATTGCTATGGAGGACGGACACCTTTCATTTTGGCCGTTGGCTGGGTCTTGTGGGCCCCTGGGGCAGGATCGGGAGATGCGGGTCATGTTTTCTTGTGGGAAGAGGCCCTAGTGTCCATCTGAAGACCTCGGATAATATGTCGCACATATTTGGAAGTGGGTGGGGGGAACCCCTCACAGGGCGGCTCTGGGAGGCTCTTTGTCCCCATGAGGACTGTGGGCAGTTGGGGGGGTCTGCCCCACGCCGGGCCCGGGAAGCCTGTCCCTGCACCAGCACATGGAAGCCTGACTCTTAGCGGAAGCGTGTGTGGACAGTGCCAGGCCAGGGTCTCGCTGACTCAGCTGAAGGCATGGCTGAGACGATGACCGACATCACAAGACCCTTCTCCGTGGTGGTTTGAAGCCCCCCGCCCCGAACTTCCCGGTCACTGGGGCCTCCACTAGGGCCTGGGCTCTTGCAACGGAGAAACCTCTCGAGGCGGAAAAGCAAACTTTCTCGTGATAGCTACACACTGTTCAGGACAGGAGATCCAGTGAGGCAGATTTTAGGTGATTTCAGAAACGGAAGCTCCTTACAGTAACGTCTGAGTATGAACACCCTCACCGAATGGGTGAGGGACGGACAGCGGGGAGGGGCTGTGACCTGCTGGCCTGGCGGCCCCCACGGCTAGCACACGGTGAAGAGAAAAAGTACTGGGCCTGAGAATGGCAAGTGGGGGTCACACAGCCTAGGGCCAGGGTGGGAGCTGCATTTGCAAACGTGCGGACAGAGGGGGGCCTGGCCAGGAAGTCGGGGTGGCTGAGGGTGGGGGGCCCGGCCGGGGGTGCACACCTGCCATTTCTCCAGAGCCCGAATTTCCTCTCACCTTGGGATACGTGGGGACATCACGCCGAGGTGTCAGTTTCTTGCTGTTATCCACAAAGCTGTACTTACAGGGACAGCTGGTCCTGCAGGAAGACAGTCAGGATTAGCTCTGGGATGGCTGCTTCGGACGAGGGGTCTGCCGGGGCCCCTCCTCAGAGTGACACCAAAGAAGCCCAGCCAAACCCAGACCCCACACACCCCTTGGTCTTATTTGTTAAGTCAGCAAGCCAGTGACCTCTCATTGCTAACCCACCAGGGACCCCGCCTGGACCTGGGATGTTGCAGCTCTCCAAAAACACGTCACCTTCATTTTAGGCAAATTCCTAAAAAATCTTTTGATGATGCAAGTAAAAACGTTTTTATTTTAAAAAATTCAAACAAGGAGAAAGTAGGCAAATTTTTTTTTTTTTTTTTTAAAGCAAGCCCCCACGTTACCTACTTCTTTCCTTTCAATCTCTCACACCCTGGAAATACCTTCTGTTAAGTTTGGGTTATCCTTCCAGAATTTTCCTAGGCATGGACACACAGGGACAGTGCCTTGGATTTTTAACAAAAATGGAACTTTCTCAAACTTACTCTTTTGCTACTTGTTTTTTTCACCTTGCTCACGGCAAACTCTCTGCTTGTTGCTCGCTAGAGCTCGGTGTCAAAGGCATGTCCTTCTGGGGTGCCTCTGGGGGGGGGTCCGAGCTGCCAATCCAGTCCCCACCACAGACTTTTAGTTTCCAGTTTCCCCCCGTACCTACCTTTAGAGATTAATTTGCTATCGGGCTCCTGACTCTGTTTTCCTTCACTTCTAAGTATCGAGGTACCCCCTCCCCGCCATAAGGACAGAACAAATCCAGCCAGGCGTGCTCTGGAGGGAAGCCACCGTCCAGCATCAGGGGACAGTGTGCTGAGCCCGGTGGTACCCGGGGCTGGATGTGGCCCCCTCCCCACCCGGGGACCCTCCCTTCCTGGAAGGGAACATACTCCCTTATCCTCAGACGTTACACACTTTGTAGATCACGTCCTGTCTCCTGGGAGAGCACTTTAATACCGCATAGTAAGAGCCATGAGACATTCCTATCCTTTAAGCCTGTGCGTCTACGCTGGGGAGTATATTTTAAGAAAAGAACTAGATGTGAGCAAACCACTCTGCACGAAGGTATTCACTGCAACGTTATCTGTTGTAAAAACACAATAAACCAGAAGCCACCTCAATGTTGCTGAGTCGGAAATAATTTAAACCATCACGGTACATCAACAAGACAGACTGTTATGTGTTAAGATATTGATGAGTATTATGTGAAGTAAGGTTTTTGGGGAAAGGGGAAAAAGAAATGTTGCATACAGTATGGGCTGAAAGGTAATGCAAAAAAAAAAAAATCTACCAAGTTTCGAGGAGAAGAGAACACATTTTGTGGGCTGAGATGAGTGTGCATTGTGGCCTCCTGGGAAAACGTATGAACTGGATGTTGGTTCAAATTTGATCCATTTATTGCTTACAGTATAGTAAGTGAAAAAAAGATTACAACACGGTATTTCTTTTCAAAAGGAGGTCTCTATACACAGAAGCACATCTGGGCAGCTCGGCATCCAGATCTCAGGTGGGGTTTGCCCCCTCATCTGTACAGTCTGGAGGTTTTACCTGGGGGCTCTGCTACTTGCAAACTCAGAGTAATACCTCTGTGTCCTTTCTGATAAAGGAGCCTTCAGTACAATTTTCTGGGGGTCCTGCTATTCTTTCCCTCAATGCGATGCTTACAAAACTCATCAGACTTTGTGTGGGGAGGGGATTTTAACACAGATTCAGCGAAAGAGTAATGAACCCATGAACCGCTAAAAGGCACCAACCAGGCAGGTGTCTCCCATTGCCGCCCTATAAATGAGAAGTCGCCCCCGCACGTTTCTGAGCAGTGACGAGCTTGCTCTGTGCCCTTGAGAACGGAGACCACAGCATCGCCCTGTCTTCCTTGTGCTCAGCCTCTTCCGTGCAGACATCCCCACACGCGCCGTGTACGCAGGCCGTATTTTCCGGGGGGGTGGGGAAGCTTGCACAAAGCAAGATGGTTGGCCTGCAGGAATCCAGCTGCTTCCTTGAAAATCCCGGTGTCGGGAGCGTCTGCTGGGTGCCCGGCGCCTCCCGCCACCCTCCCCCACCTCGACCAGGTGGCCCGCCTGCTCCCTCTGTGCCCCGTTGCCACGGGAACCAGCCTCCTCCAGCGACAGAGCCCCTGGCATGGTGCCTTTTCTTTTCATTCTATTTGGGCCTCATTTTTGCTTTCATTTCCTGGGCTCCCAGCGCCCCGCCCCGTGGCTCGTCCAGTGGACAAGGCCATTTGTTTGGGATGGAAGTGGAGACCGGAGCCCCTGGAGCCCTGGGGAGCCCTCCCCCCGCCCGGGGTGAAGCGGCAAGCTCCGCTCTGTGCCCAGCTAGGCAGGAAACTGGACCCGGGGAAACCCAAGGCGTGTGTCTCAGAAGCGCGCGGCCTGGTCCGGGGGCGTCCCAGAGCCTGCCCGCGACCCCCCTTCGCTGCCGCTCCCAGAGCCGGAGGGCCCCTGGCGCGGAGGCCCAGCTGGGTGGTGCTCGTGGGGGGCGATCGTGGGGCCGCCCTTCAGACTCGTCAGCCATCTGTGCGGGCACGGGGCAGACATCTGTCCCCCCAGGGAGGCCGACCGCCGCCTAGCTGGGCTGATAGCCAGGAGCCAGAGCTGTGTGAGGTGCCCGTCTCTGCCCCAGTCCAGGCGAAGCCCTGTGTGGAGGAGCCTGGTCCCGGGGACGCTAACATGCTGCACGGCATCCCTGCGTGGTTAAAACGGAACCTTGCACACAACAGAGACAGAGGGGGGCGCAGGCGGCCTCCTGTTTGCTGTCTGAGTTTGCGTCTCCGTAAAGCAAAGGGAAGGGCCATTTGTGTGGGGCCCAGAAGGGCCCGGGGCAGGTGGCCTGGCTGGGGGTTAGACCCGGGCCCAAGCCACCCGGTTTCTTTTTCCTAAATGTATCAGCAACGTTTGAGAATTTTACCCTGTTGGTCTGTGACTGAAAAGTCACACCTACCCGTCTCTCACCTCCGTGGGATGCTGCGAACACTGTCTGCCGAGAACATCGCCTCTAGAAGCAGTTAGGGCACCGGGAAGGCTTCTCTTTGCATCACGGCACCGTGAGCTCCAAAAATGGACTTTTTGGGCGGCGAGGGAGAGCGCTTCAACCCTTGGCTGGGCCCAGGCACCTGCCACACCTCGGCTCTGCCCACTGGGCTAGACGGGCGCCGGTGGGTCACGGTTTGCCTTGTGGCTCCCGGGTGGGAGGCTTCTTCCCATGTGCTCCAAAATCGGGAGTATCCCCCCTTGTGCCGTTGTGTGGGTTGAATTATGTCCCCCAAAAGTGAGAAGGGGAAGTCCTAAGCCCCAGGACTGTGCATATGACTTCCTTTGGAAGGAGGGTCATCCCAGGTGTCATGGCTCCTCGTGTGGCCACACTGAGGCAGTGGGCCCTAATCCAAGAGGGCAGGTGTCCTTTAAGAAAGGGACATCTGGGCACAGAGGCACATGCAGGGAGAAGACCGTGTGAAGGCCGAGACTGCAGTAACGCACGGACCAGCCGGGAGCCCCCAGGGCTGCTGACAGCTGCCAGAAGCTTCCGAGGGGGGCTGGACTAGATCTGCCCTGGAGCCTTCAGACGGAGTGTGGCCTTGTGGACACCTTGATCTCTGACTTCTGGCCATCGGTTCTGTTGTTTCAGGTGCTCTTGTGGCCGCCACGGGACGCCGGGACAACCCGGACCCGGAGAGCTCTTCCCCTGGCAATCCGAGTGGCAGGAGCAGGGCTGGCAGCCACCCCAGGACGGCACACGCCCCTCTTTCCCAGGATGGGAGGAAGGTGCAGGAGCTGGAGGGAGCCCCCCGGGACGCAGCAGCAGGGACGGGGCCAGCGAGGGTGGGGCTCATGACTCACCCCCGGCGGCTCTGGGCAGGTGGCAGGCCTTAGTCATTAGAGGAGGGGCAAGTGGCTGCCTTCTAAAAAGCCTCCCCCAGGTGCTCTGTGAGCTCGCGGGTCGGCATGTTTGTGAGTGAGGTGATGCCCACGGAGGTGGGAAGGGACCTCAGGGGTCCCATTGCTGCCCGGGACACACCCCCTCTGGCCGGCACGCGTGGCAGCCAGAGGGCGATTCCATGACCTCGGCCGCCAAGGGCCTGAGCATCCTCCAGCCTGCTGAGCCGGGCCCAGCCGACTCCCGGAACCGTACCTGGTCCCACGAGGGCCTCTGGCTCCTGCTCCCAAAGAGCCTCTCACTAAGGGGATGTCCAGCATGAATTATTCACTCGCAATTTTCTGCAAATTTTCACAAACCCCTTCACCCTGACTTCCCCAAATCACATGGGATGACATCTCCAAATCCACATCAGGTGCCAAGTGGGTGTGATAGAAACGTGGTGTGGTCCCTGTAAGACCACACTAACGTGGCTTCGAGCCCACCCGAGGCGAGCCAGCCCCTCGCCTTCACGTGGGAACGTCAGCTTCCCCTGCACCTCCTGCCTTCAAAGAGCCTTCCATGCGGCCAGCCTCCCTCACTAAGCTGGTCGCCCTCAACGTTTTAAGACCCGGGAATGATCTTCAAACTGGCAGGTGCGCTTTCAAGGACAGCCTGGGGGCTGTGCGCAGGGCTAGTCTTCAGTTCCTTGTCCCCACTATATGCCGCCGAGCTCCCCACACTTACACGCTCCATGCCCGCGCCCCCTCCCTCATCATCTCCGCTGTTACCCCGAACGCTTGCTGGGACCACAGTTTCGGCAGAGGGTCCTGTACAAACACCTACCTTCGAGGGGGTGTAAGGAAGCCCGGGGTGTTTTTTCCACGAATTTCGGCTCCCCAGGGGAGAACCCCTCGTTCTGCATGACAAGTGATCTCTGTGTGGAGAATGACCAGGGGCCCTGTGGCATCTCCCCTGTGACCTGCTATTCTGAGCTGTAGGGACGTCCACACAGGAGCACGGCCTCCAGGCACCAGGACACCCTCCTCCGTGAGCCAAATGCCTTTTCCTTTTATTGGGCCCTTTCTTTAAAAATCGATGCCAACTTCTCTCAGGCTGGATAAGTGAATCCTAAAGCTTTGATCTCTGGGAGGATTATTCCTCCTTTAACTGAAGCCATCCTCCTCACCTCCATCTAAGACTGTGCAGTTGACAAGCCCACCCCAGCCGGAGCCGGGCTGCCTCCACCCTGCGCTCATCCTGGCCGGAGCTGGGTCCGGCTCTGCCGCAGTGCGCTGCGGGGAGCAGCCCAGAGCCACCCCCTCCCTGGGCCCACGTGCAGGGCTGCTCTCCCCGGGCCTGACCTTACCTGCTGCTTCTGGCCACCAGCTCTTCCCGCATCTTCTTGATGTCACTCTTGCATTTCTCGATCTCCACCACTTTCAGGCCTTCCACTGGGACAAAGAAAAACAAGGGGGTTGCCATGGAGACACGCAGAGGACCCCGCAAGGCTGGTGACTGGGTCTGGTCCCGCGAGAAAGCTGGCTCTGGCCCCTGCCGGGGTCCCTGCAGCCGAGGGTGCCAGCAGCTCAGGGACAAGGACTCTGGCCTGGCGGGCCTGTCCTGTCCGGGGCCAGCACGAACCGCCGCACCCCTCCTTGCGGTTTCTGCAGGGCAGAGCCCCTGCTCCCCTCCCCACAGTCCCGAGTCTTCCTGCACCCACTCCCCACTTTCTGTCTCCAGGCCTCTAAGCACCAGCTGGGGACAGGGGACAAAGAAATCTCTTATCCTAAAAAGAAGAGGAGAAAATAAGGCCACAGTGCCTGAAAACACGACCAGAAGCTCGGGGAGCAAAACCGCAGCCTTCCCGGCAAGGATGAGCTCACATTGCTATAAAACTTTCCCATTTTAAGGTCCCACTGGAGCAGTTAACCGGGAGAAGGTGTGGACTTCATGTGGAGGGAACACAAACAGGCCCGGTCAAGGGTGAGCAGAGCCGGGCTCACTCACATTCTCGCAGCCCCCTGCAGAGGGCCTGCAAAGTCCAGACACCACTGTTCTCCCAAGAACAAACTGGAGCTCATGCCTCCCAGCGAGCGCTCAGCTTTAAGACCTTCACTCTGGCAGCTGCACACGTAGCCCAGAAACACTGCTACTGAGCAAGCGGCTTCGCAGAGGTTTTCGGGTTCAAGTCAGCTTTTAGGGAACAGAAGAGAATTGCTTTGCTACTCTGCAATCACACCTCAATTATCATGCAAAAAGATAACTACCCACGATGCTACTCTAGTCCCCTTTTCCCTCAAGCGCAGTCTGAATACCTAAAAATACGATGCGAATGATTTCTCCAGGAAAAACAACCCCCTCCCACGACAAGTGTCTGCAGAGGGGAAACGCACGGCAACCTGTCCGAACCCCAAGCTCCCCGGGCAGTTTTCCAAGCGTTTCCAGGGTCAGGGTTCGGGGGGGCAAGGCTACTGAAAATATTGCTTCTTTCTGCCCAAAGTGGTGGGAATCTGGAGGATCTGATATTCGGATATTCAGACGTGGTTCTAGTGACTTGCTTCTGTGCTGCTCGGGGGATGTTGGGGCCAAAGGTTCTTCCCGTCCGCCCCCCGCCCCCCCCACCCCAGGACACGGGACCAAAGCCCAGGGCCGTCAGTGCAAGGGGTTGGGACCAGCCAGGTGGGGAAATGCAGAGAATTCGACCTCGGGGATGGTCCACTCCCTCACTAAGAGCCCAAAACCTCCTTCTGGAACGGGGTGTTCTTAGCGCTTCCTTGCATCATGGACCCCATTGGGAAGTGGCTGGAAGCCACAGGTCCTCCTCAGAGAAAAGCACACCAGCTCCCACCCCTTCTGGTTTGGACCTCCCAGAGTGCCGTGTCCAGGCCCTGGGCCACACTGCAGGAGGCTGGCCCACGGGGGAGCCCCAGTTCCAGCTGCGTCTGCCGTGGGGACGCTGACCTCAGCACATGGCAGATTCAGTGTCCGTGGGAAGGAGCTCAGTCTTGTTGACATATGAAGGGCAGACATTTCCAGAAAGTCAGCAGATCTGGAGAAGAGTTCTGGTATGTGGTATAGACTTTGATCCTCAAAGCAAATAGACAAGCAGTATAAAGTCCAAACAGGGTGGCCTGCGGAAGTCCGCGGTCACATTTACTACATTTTAAACATACGGAGGAAATGCAGAGCATCTCCAAGAAGAATGTTGTAAAATTTATCTACGGTCCTATTGGCCCAGAGAACAACCCATTTATTATGTATAGTGGTGTGGATCTTTCCAGGCATTTCTCTCCCACCCCCGTGCGTTGGAAACAGCTATCTGTCCATCCAGAGTTTTAAAAAGACAAAATTGGGATCATGCTGCTTGTGTTTTCTCATTTGCTTTTTCCAGTCATCAGTAAATTAAGGACACGCCTGGTGTTAGCAGCCGCCTCCTGGCTCATGGCTTTTGGTGGGTGTGTAAGGTTCGATTATTCAATATCAGTTCATGTAGATCACATTTCCGGGCCATTTACTGGGGGGTGATGTTCAAATTCAGCCTTTTGGGCGACACAGAACAATATCACTAACTTGAATCCCAGAGATTCAGAATTTATGGTGATTACGCTTATGAAAAGCCTGGTTGCCAAGGAAATTGATAGTAACAAGATGGCAAAGTTGGGCATTAATCAATGGAGAGAACAAACATGTCACAGGATTAAAGGTGGAACACAGGGGGCGGGGGGGGGCAGCCAGAGCACCACGCACCCACCACCGCTGCTCCCGCCCCTTCCAGGCCATTTCTGGAAGATTCCACAGCTTACCTTTGGCCTGTCCCAGCGCCGCGTTGCCCTGGTCCCACAGGAGGGACAGGGCCCGGCCTAGGAGCGGGGCCCTACCCCTGAGAAGTCCTGCACAGACCCTGGAGACAGCTCTCCAGTGAGGCTGGATGTCAGGTCCCTACAGGGTAGCCTCATCTGTCCACCTGCAAACTTTAAACAGGTGGGCACAGAGCGGAACCCCAAACTAGAGCCCTGAGGGCTGCTGGAGCCCCCCTGACGAGGAGCACCCCCTGCGAGCCTGGGGGTCCCCTCTAGGACTTTGGGGGTCATGAAGGGTGGGGGGGGCAGCTCTGCGAGTCACACGTCACCCTGAAGGAGAACCTCTGGGAATGATTCTGGAAGAGGGGTGCCGGCTTTGGGGAAGGGGTTCAGTGGGCAGAGGGATAGCACAGGCCACAGAGGCTGCTCTGCCCCTCCTCTTCTCCACCGGCTCACTGGGCTCCCCCGAGGGGCGCCAGAGCCGGCGCGACCCTCCTTCAGCGGCAGAGCTCACGGAAGTTCGTTAGGCTTCGAGTCTTCGGATTGTTTGTGTGACCCGGCATTAAACTCTGTCCCGCAGGCCAGCTCTCCGGGTGTTTGGGGTCTGGTCCAGGCCTGGGCCCCGGACCGGGGTGCGCACGGCCACATCCCACAAACAAGGAAGGAAGTGGAGGCCCCGTGAGGTTTCATCTCCAACCGGGAAGCGAGGTGAGGACCTGGGTGTCCCGTGTCCCTGAAATAATTTCTAACCTAAGCAAGACCTCAGACACCCTTGAAGAAGGAAAACGACTTAGATAAAAAGAAAGAAAAGCTTCTAAAGTGAATTAAGAGAAATTCAGATATTTATACTTGATTCAGAGGAATTATGTTTGAGAAAGTAAAAAAAAAAAAGGCAGGAAATCCACTTAAAACAAGTCAAGCCAGCCTAACGTGGCTTACACATGGCCAGTCCTAGCCGCAGGCCTCCTTCAGCTCAAGCACAGAGAGCAGCTAATAACAGCTCATGTACACCAGACACGGCACGTGTGCGTCTGTATGTGTATGTGTGTTTACACATGCATGTGTGTGAGGTGTGCATGTGGGGGTGTGTGTATCTGTGAGAGGATGTGTGCCTGTGTGTCTGCATCTTTGTGTAAGTGTTTACATGTGAGCATGTGTGTGCAATGTGTGAGCATGTGTGCAAGAAGCAGTGTGCACATCTCTGCGTGTTCACACACGTTTACCTGTGTGCATGTGTGCAAGCATGTGCAAGCATCTGTGTGCATAGGTCTCTGCATGTTCATGCATGTGTTTACATGTGTGAGCATGTGTGTGCAGTGTGCGTGCATGTGAGCGTGCAGGTGCGAGTCTGGGTCTGGCCTGGGCCCAGTACAGCAGCCTGGCAGTCGAGCCCGGCAACCCTCCCAGTGCACAGGGGGGTCAGGACTGCCGTCTGAGTAGTTCCCGTGTGACCTGCATGAGGGGTCTGCGTCAGGACCCTTCTCCTCAAAAGGACCTTCCAAGGTCCCTGCCATGCCCTGGATACTCACATCTTTGGGTTAAGGAACTGCTGTGTTTGGGTGGCTTTTTGGAGCTCACAGCCCTGGGGCTCAGCACAAGTGAGGGACCCCGCCCCCTCTGTGCTAGGGAGCAGGGGGCTTGGAGACTGGTAAGGGGCCAGCCACAAGTGCCAGGAGAGGACACACCTGAAGCCTGGCAGAATTCAAGGAGGACGAGAGTCTGCCGCAGTCATGGGCATGTCCTTGGGGGGTGTGTTCCCGTTAGGAGGGGGCAGCCAGGAGGTGGGGTTGCTGGGGCTATGGGAGGACCCACTGCCCACACTCCCACCTGACTACTGCCAAGTCGCTATCTCGGCCCATGGCTCTTAGACCTTTCTCTCCTCCCTTCTTGCTCCCTTGATCCGTTCCTGCTGTGCCCGGGTCTCTGGTGCTGGCTAGTAACAACATGGCTAATCGCAGTGTATGCAGCCAGCCTGAGCCCCGTGCATGGCGGGGTAACGCGCCCTCGAGGTAACCTGTGTGCATTTGCATGATTTATGTGATGGACACGAGGGCCTACAGGGACAGCGAGTTCTGGAGGATTCGGGGCTAGGCCACCAGGGGAGAAGGTCAGAGGTGTCGAGTCCTGTAGTCCTCAGTTCACACACCGCTTGGAGGCAAAATTAAAACACTTCTCGGCCTGATCACTGTCTCCATGGCCAGATACCGGAAGCCTCAGCACTGAGGTCAACACAGTGTTCTGGAGGAGTTTTGAAAATTCCTTAATGGCCTCCTCAACTTTCCTGTTTGCAAGGACCGGCAGGAGCTGGTGCTGCTTCTGGGAGAGACGCGGGGCGGGGGTCAAGGGGGAAGCTGGCGCGGGCCCAGAGGAGGCCAGGCGGGAGGCACCTGCCGGCCTCGGGTGCATCTGGGTGACTCTGCGCTTCTGTAAACATAGAAGGTGAATCAGCAGCAAATGCTTTTTGTGTTCTTCGGCTGAACCCCTTCCCACAGCATCTGGAGAATTCCCTACATTATGGGACTCGGTGGGAAGCTGAGCTTTTGCCTCCCACTGCAAACGCTCACTATAGTGGGTTGAACTGTGTCCTCTAAAAGGATATATGCTTACATCCTGACCCCCAGAACTCATGAGTATGACCTCATTTAGAGAAAGTTTCCTGCAGATATAAGCGATTAAGCTCTCCAGACGAGATCATCCTGGATGAGGGTGGGCCTTAAATCCAAAGACAGGTGTCCTCTCAGGGCCTGAGACACAGAGACTCTGGGAGGGGCTGTGTGAAGACGAGGTGGTCTGGGGTGACGTGGCCACAAGTCGAGGATTGCTGGAGCCGCCTGTAGCCGGAGCAGATTCTCCCTCAGAGCTTCCAGAAGGATCGCCCTCCCGGTCTAGGACTTCTGGCCTCCACTGCAGTGCGACAGTCCGTTTCTGTTGCTTTAAGCTCCCCCGTTTGTGGTACTCCATTGAGAGGGCCACGGAAGCTACCGCACTCCCCTGCAGCCAGGGCGTGGGCACACGGTCCTGCTCCGTCCAGACTTCGGATCTGTGGCCAGTATACGAGGAAGCAGCCTGATGTTTGCAGCAGTGGCCGTGGGGATGGTGGGGTCTGAGCACAGAGCTCTGGGCGCTGGGGAGACAGCGTGCGTCTGGGGCTCAGATGCGGCATCCTCACGCATCAGCTCTGCGTGGGATTTGGGATCTTGCTCCTGCTGCGTAGTCACCGAGCAAGCCCTGCTTCTGAGACCTCCCAGCGCCCTGGGAGCTCCCCAGAATCCTTTAGGAAGAAGCCCCTTTTCTGCCGAATGCGGCCACAACAGGCATGTGTGGTGCTTCCCAACCGGCCCTCCCAGGCGCCCGGGGGTCCTGCACGGCTTGAGCGGCCCCGCCCGGACCTCAGTCTTATTTACTTTTCCAATTCGTTGGACTAGCTTCAGCGGGTCACTTAATCTCTTTGTGGCTTCTTCGTCATCAGTGGGGAAAATATATTGGTTTTGAAGACAGAATATCAAATGGATTTTCTAAATGCCAACATACTCTGAGAAGTAGAACTTATGTAGGTCATGTTTCAAGTTATTAAGGTGAACAGGTTTTTGCGTGATCCTGAATATTCTTCTTGAAAAAAAATCCAAGCAATTCATACAAGATACGGAAAGTGACATTCAGTGCGTCCTGTGAATACGAATCAGCCAGACGCTGTCTGGGGAAGCCACAGCCCTGCCGGCCTCAGGTTCGGATTTGGTCTCGTCATCCCTGAGCTTAATAAATAGGCTGCCCTTTGCCTTGACATTGACAAAGATGTGTGAGTTGGACGGGGAATCGTGAAGCGTGAGAATTCAAGCATTGCTCCTTATTTTATGGACGAAGACACAGAGGGTGAGAGATGGAAGCTGTCCCCCTCCCAGTTTCAGCTGTTTGGTCCCTGAATCAAGACCAGAACCGACCCTCCTTGCTTGCTGGAAGTTTTTCTGCTTGCCTCGGTGGTGACGGGGAACCAAGAGCTAACGATTCGGCAGGCATATTCCTGAAACAGTTCTGAAGGCGCGGAGTGTATGGGCTTGCCTCGTTTATGTAGAAAGAGACACAAAGATGTGCAGCAGAAGGTCCTCTCCCAAGGGGGCCAGTCTGGGGGGCTTCGAGTTTTCATTCTGTCCTCTTCTGCCCCGAAGGAGCACCTCCACGTGCCACTACCGAGCAGGGGCGGCGGCCCAAGTCACCGTACGCTCCTGACCTGTCCCTGGTCACCAAGCGACTTTCACGGTATAAACAGATGCTCACTGTTCTCGCCTCCAATAGCATCAAAGGTAATTTTTAAGCATTTCACAAAGAGAAGACATTTCCATGTACCTCCAGCCTTCCCTCCCTCCCCTCGTCCCCCCCCCCCGCCCCGCCCTCAGCCCCGGGGGACGCAGTTAATTTAAACAGAGATTAAAAGACAAGCAAAAAGGAAACAGAAACCTCACTCACATTCGACTCGCTTCTCTAGCACGGCCAAGTGATTCGCGACTTCAGCTTTCAGTTCGTTGATTTTAAATGCTCTAGGAATGAAAAAAAAGTCATCACTCTTAAAATTCTCGAAGTTGAAATGGGTGTGGCTAACCTCTGCTGCACCCCCTGCCCTGGGCGAGGACTCCCGGTGGGCTCCACCCCCCTCTCTGTGGGCTCACCCCTGTAGGGGGCACAGGACGATAGGGCTTGCTTTTAAGGCGCTCACAGCCCCTGAGGGGCGTGGAGGAAAGAGACGCACCCTCAAAGGATCGCCAGGGCCTGTTTTCCATGACAGAAGGCTGGCAGGTGTGTTAACTCCCGCACACCTGCTCTCAGGGGAGGCCCCCCACCCCTGCTCCCAGCAGGAACGGCCCAGGCCCCGCCCCCTGCCCTACTGGGCACAGACCCCTGCAGGGGCCCCGGTGTGCCCTCTCCAGGCTCCAGCCCGTTCACTGTAACCACTTGGCCTTTAAGGATGTGTCACCGTAGGCCCCTGGGACAGTGAGATGCCACAGTGGGTGACTGAGCCACGGAAAGCATTCCTTTGGAACTGGTAGGATAACTCATCACGGAAAGAAGCCCCACGTCTACACAGGATCGCCATGGCAATGCTTATTTTATTTATTTATTTATTTATTTATATTTATTTATTTT